AATATAAGTTTCAATGTTTTTGTTGTTAAATATTTTAGAAATGTGTGTTAGACTTTATGACATTCATTTTATTTTAATCTTAATAGTGCTTTATTTAACTTGTAAATTTAAATTAATTTCATTAGAAAATATAATTTTTCTAAATTTAAGATATTCTTATAACTTAATATACTTATAATTTTGAATTCCATGTCTCTTATTTAGACTACATTATCTTGGTATTATTATTGCAATTTAGATATTTTCTAATTTTGTATTTCTCTTTTCAATTAGTATTTATGCACTTAGAAAATTTGAAATTTAGATTATTGATTTTGGAAAGAATTCAAATACTCTTGAAAATAGTACAAATGTACAAAATAAAAAAAAAATGTGCAAAAAATTTGCAATGACAAAAAGAGGCACAAAATAAGCCCAAAGCAAAAAGATGCACAAAAATGTGCTGGTATAAAAAATTGAAAAAAATGCGTAAAGCGCCACATGTGGTAATTACTTATTTCTAAACTCTTTTAATCTCTTAATTCAAATTAATCTAATGTTCATTTATAATTTAAATTGAAATTTGAAATATAAAATTTTTTTAATCATCCTTAGTGCAATAATTTTCTTTATCTTCATGTCTAAATTAGCACATGCCTTTGACAAATTCTTATTATTCTCTAAGTTATATCACTTCTTAAAATAAATGAAATTTTATGATTTTCTAATGTTTTTTATTTTATTTACATATCTTATCTCAATTACTTTCAAGCTTAAAATATAAAGTGAATTTCATATTTCTGCTTGTATTTCTAACATTCTTTTCTTCTTCACTTTTTAATATTGTCAAAAAGGGGGAGAAATTGTTTGTTGTGTCTTGTGTATTTTTTTTTATTATTTGTTTTATCGTATGTTTTTGTATGTGTGTTTGATTGTTTTTATTTTTGTTTTGTGTTGTATAAAAATTTTGAAAAACATTTTTTTTTTTCAAATGCCTCCTTATTTTCATGAGTTCATCATTTCAGGGGGAGTTTAGGAGATTCTTAGAATTTCAAGTAATACAAATAATAATTGTTTTGCCATCATAAAAAAAGGGGAGATTGTTAGGAAAGTTGTTATTTGCATGTTTTACTTTTTTGCAACTTGTATAGTTTTGATAATTCCAAATATTATTATTTTATATGTTGTTATCTCCTAACATTTTTTGGAAGATTTATTTTTGCTCTAGTGTGTACTAACATTTCAGGAAAATCAACTCCAAGATATGAAGACTTGTAATCAAATTCAACAAATATTCATAAGTTTTGAAATGAGAGGGAGTGATTGTAATTTAGTGAAAAATCACATAATACACCATTGGGGAATAATTTTTGTAAACTGATCGTACGGGATGAACATAGTTCGTACGGCACGATCATGTCAATTACCCCTAAGAAGAGCAATGGATCGAACAGGCAGGGAGAAAATTTTTCTAAGTACTAATTGTCCAGGATGAATTTAATATTCGTCCCGGGATGAACTTCTCGGGATTCTCACTTGCACTGTTCGTCCAGACGAAAAACAAGGCTCGTACCTGGATGAAACTCTCTGTATGAGATCGTACAGGATGAAATAAATTTTTGTCCCTGGACGAAACTCTCTATATGAGATCGTACAGGACGAAATAAATTTTCATCCCATGATGAAACTCTCTGTTTAAAATCGTCCCAGGACGAAACCAGTTCGTCCCAGGACGAACTGAACCGACTTACGTTAGTTGGTTACGTCCTAAAGAATTTTGGGAAACCGACCTATGAAATAACTGTTTCGTACTGGACGAACTTCGTTCATACGAGATGATTAGGGTGTACGAACATAATTCGTACCAATGTACATTAGGTTCGTTTTCCGACAATTTAAGTAAAATCGTCTAGGACGATCCAAGATCGTACAAGACGATCCACTTCGTACAGAATTGAAAACTTGCAGTTTTTGGGCAGTTTTTTTTGTCTTTTGTATAAATAGTTCAAATTTGACTGCCACCCAATCTTTTTGCTCATTGAACTTCGTGCCTATTGGAAGAAGAGTAAAGGAGAGAGTGAGAGAGAGCATTCAAGAAGGATTTCTACTACTGGAGCGTAAAGGCTTCGCTTGGTGATTCAAAGGTAAGATATCCAACTTGTGATTTGAGATTACATCACTCTTTTTCTTTCTTCCTTCTAGATTTCTAGTGAGAAGATCTGTCAAGGAGATCTGGTTCTCTGCCGACACTAGGAGAGTGTGAACAACCGCAGGGTTCTCTGCCCACACTAGGAGAGTGTGAAAGGACGAAGGGTTCTTTGCCCACACTAGTAGAGTGTGAAAGGACTAAGGGTTCTCTGCCCACACTAGGAGAGTGTGAATGGATGGACGGTTCTCTGCCAACACTAGGGATTGTGTAAAGGGACGACGGTTCTCTGCCGCACCGGATAGTGGTGAAAAGAGTGTTTGTAAAGGCTTCTCCGCCTTGCTGTGGGTGCAAAAGGAGAGACACTATTGGTATTAATGCAATACTCAGAGGGTGCCTCTAGGGAGTGGATGTAGGTCTGGTTTAGACCGAACCACTATAAATCTTGTGTCGTTTACTTTACTGCTTTTTATTTTCCGCATTTTTCTCTTGTTTTTAAAAAAAAATTGTGGTTGAAAAACTTTTATATAAAAATTTCATTAAAATTTTAATTTCGGTTCAACTAAAATTTAAAAGAGGGTTAAGTTTTAAAACTACCAATTCACCCCCCCTCTTGGTAGCCTTGAGACATTAACTTAGGTCTAACAACCTATTCACTAGACTCAACACTGTGAAGTGTCAGCTCATGTTTGGCAAGGTTTACTTCTTACTATGTCTAAGATAATTTAAATAAAAAGGTTTAACTTTGAGTAAATATTTTACATTTAAAGTATTCCTGAAAAATCCAAAATAAAAATGACCACCCAACCCTTAAAACTTAAATAAAAGTTATATGATATTAAAAAACTTAATTTAAAATGATTTCTCGATAAAATTAAATAAGTTTATATTTAAAAAATAAAATTTAGAAAATAAATAATAAAATGATACTCTTATGACTTTAAACTTTATAGAGTAGGCTATTTTATTTTCTTTCATTTTAGTTTGATGTTTTAATATATATTATTTTATATTTCATTGTATTAGAATTGTTAGCCCAACTAGTTTATTACCTGCCTCAGCCGCTCGCAGGTCCATGCCCTCTGCTCTTGCAGGCTGGCTCCTAACGGCTTCTGCCGAACACCTCTCGTTATGATTTACGCTACCAACGTCGCCTATATATGCGACTGCTTTACTGTAGCAAACACATAATACAATATTACATTTTCCACTGTTCATCTTCTTTCTCTGTTCTTCTCTTATCTATTTCTGCAGGTACCTTCTCATGGTATCAGAGCCTTGAGCTCTACAGTCAATGGCTGATCAAGAGACAGCTTCAGCGGCTGCACCAGCTTCTCCCTCAGTTCATCCGACCTCACCCGCAGCTCCACCAGCGTCCACCATCTCCGTCTCAATGACAGAATTCGTCATTCCTGCTCCACTCAAGTTTTTAATGTCAAACCTCAAATCCATAATAAACCTGCAACTTAGTGATAAAAATTATTCCATGTGGAGCTTGCAGATATTCAGACTCTTCGCAGCCAATGGATTTGAGGGTTATCTCACCGACAGTCAGACTCACCTGGGAAAACCAGACGGCCATCCCGACAGTCGCCTGTGGAGACTCATTGATCAGAACCTGGTTTCCGCTCTACTCTCCACCATCTCCCCTTCAGTGCTGCCTTACATTCTACACCTCTCCAGCACTCATGAAATCTGGAGCACCCTTGCAAACCGACTGCAACCCACCAATCGCTCCAGGGTGATCCAACTGAAAAACGAGCTACATAACATACAGATGAGAGACTGCTCCATGAATCAGTACCTGGCACAGGTAAAAACATTGGTGGACAACATAGCAGTCGCCGGATCACACATTGATTCTGAAGAAATACTCATGTACATTCTAAACGGCCTACCTCCGGCCTACAATGCCTTCACCACGGCAATTCGAACCTCATAGCTACCTGTTAGCCTTGACATTCTGTATTCCCTTCTCTGCAGTGAAGAGATCAACATACAGAATCAGGCTCAAAGACTCAGCAATCCGGCGATAGATCGAATGGCACTTTTCTCTCAATGTGCCAGATCATCCCGCGGCAGATCAAACTCCTACCGCGGGCGGGTGGCACCTGACCACCACACTCCAACAATCAGGAAACCATATCTATTGATAAGCCCTTCAACACTACGAGACCGACGTGCCAAATATGTGGGAAGCTTGGACATACATCTCTTACCTGCTGGCACCACAACAACCTGCAATACATGCCCACTGCACCAAATCAAAATAAGGCTCTGCTATCTCAACAGCAACAGACCAATCCCACCATGGATTGGGTACTTGACTCCGGAGCTACAGCTCATCTCACTGCAAATGCTCAATCTATCCAACAACCCATGCCATACTCAGGAACAGATTCCATCTCCATAGCCAACGGGAGTAACCTTACCATTCAAAATCAAGGTCAAGGTATCCTACCACTTCCTAACACACCACGTAAGTTTATCCTTCATCATATTCTTCATGTTCCTTCACTCTCGCATAATCTTCTCTCAATACACAAATTGACATCTAACAATCACTGCTCCGTTTCCTTTGATTCTCACGGATTCACAATTCAGGATCTACGGGACAAGGATGTTCTTCTCAGTGGACGTGTCCATAATGGGTTGTACACTATCTCTACCAACACACCACCCCTCACAGTGCTTCACGCCACAAAGAACCCCATCAATCTATGGCACGACTGCCTTGGTCATCCGCATCACCGTGCTCTACAACACTTAGCTAGATTAATACCAACTATATGTATTCCATCAAGTTTTTCTCTTTGCAAATCATGTAATTTGGCAAAAAGCCATAAGCTTCCTTTCAATGCTAGTAACTCATATGTATCTCAGCCTTTTGAATTAATACAATCCGACGTCTGGGGTCCTTACCCTGTCTCTTCCATTAACGGCTACAGATACTTTATCACCTTCATAGATACTCACTCTCGCTTTTGTTGGATCTACCTAATGCATTCCAAAGATGTGTCATTCTCTAAATTTCTGCAATATTATCAACTAATCAAAAATACATTCAACACAAACATTAAAACTCTAAGATCAGACAATGGCACCGAATTCACCAACAATACATTTCAAAAATTTCTCTCAGATAACGGCATTGTCCATCAAACAACTTACCCATACATGCCGGAGAAAAACGGACTTGCCGAGCTCAAGAACAGGCACCTCCTCGACACCACCAGAACCCTTCTCCACGCGACACATCTGCCATCGCACTTCTGGGTAGAAGCTCTTCTCACATCAAATTACTTAATCAATCGTCTGCCAACAAAAGCTTGTAACTCCCAAATACCCTTCCATCTTCTTCATAGCCGTCTACCCTCTTACGATCACCTAAGGACATTCGGCTGCCTTTGCTTCCCTTGGCTCCGCCACCTCACCTCAAACAAACTCCAACCACGCTCTCAGGAGTGTATCTTCCTTGGGTACTGTTCAACACAAAAAGGATACCACTGTTACAATCTCACATCACACAAAATTCACATTTCCCGCCACGTCGTGTTTCACGAAACCACATTTCCCCCACACCGAACAAATCTTCTCCTCTCATGCTCATTCCCACATCCACCCTCTCTCACTCAGGCTCTCCCTTTACACCTCAACCATAATACTCCGCTCCTACACCATCATCCCCCCCACTCAATCTCATCTTCACATCACCAACCTGCTCATTCTTCCTCCTCCACACACAGTCTACCAGCATCTTCACCTATCCAACAACTACCTCACCCTCACCCAATGCTCACCAGGTCCAAAACAGGGCATCTCAAACCAAAAACAATCCTCGATCTATCGGCCACCTTAACTCACGATCCCACCCCTTCCACATTTCATCAAGCCTGCAAGCTCCCAATCTCGCAAATAGCAATGTCCAACGAGCTAGCTGCTCTCCACAAGCAGCAGACATGGACACTTGTCCCGTCCTCGGATGCCGATGGATCTATAAAACTAAACTCAATGCAGATGGGCAACCCCTAACTCACAAAGCATGTCTCGTGGATCAAGGTTTCAATCAAGAATACTGCATTAACTATCATGAAACCTTCATCCCCGTGGTGAAGATCACCACCATTCGTATTATGCTTGTGATCACTCTCCAAAGGAAATGGCAGGTTCGGCAATTTGATTTCTTGAATGCTTTCCTTCACGGCGACCTCACCGAGACCGTTTATATGAATCAACAACCATGCTTCGCGAACCCATCCTTTCCCAACCATGTTTGCAAGCTCCGCAAATCCTTATACGGTCTCAAGCAGGCTTCGCGACAGTGGTTCATAAAGTTCATCTCCTTTCTCAAACAATTCGGATTCAACTTCAGCAAATCAGACCCCTCCCTGCTAATCTACATTAAGGACAAATCCCACCTGTATCTCCTTATCTATTTAGATGATTTGCTTTTCAATGGGAATGATCAGGACACTATTGCCAGGCTTCTCATTCAACTAGAAGCAGCATTTGCTCTTAAACAGCTTGGCACGGTATCCACCTTTCTAGGCATCCAAATAAAATACACCTCCAGCGGCTGCTTTCTTCATCAGTCTCAATATGCCCGGGAACTACTTCTCACCTATGGATTTTCCTCCTGTAAACTGGCTCCCACTCTGTTGCCCACCAAGACCTCCAAATGCCAATCTACCGATGAACCATTTGAGAATCCGAAGCTATACAGGCGAATTGCCGACTGTTTACAATATCTCACAATCACACGGTTGGACATTGCATTTGCCACAAACCATATCTGTCAGGCAATGCACAAACCAACGAATCAGAATTACCAGTCTCTCAAGCGTCTGCTACACTACATTCAAGGAACTCAACATCTGGGTCTTCCGTTCGCATCCGGTGAACTCACTCTACGCACGTTCGTCGACGCCGACTGGGTGGCAAACAACAGCGATTGTAGATCGATCACAGGAATGTGCTCTTACTTGGGTCCGAATCTCATCCAGTGGCAATCCAAAAAGCAAGCAACCGTCTCAAAATTTTCTGCCGAGGCCGAATACAGAGCATTATTGTCTGCTACCTCTGAAGTTATTTGGCTACGCCGCTTACTTACTTAACTTCAGGCACCTCAATCCCAACCAACTCCAATCTACTGCGACAACCTATCGGCACCTGCCTTAGCCAAGAATCATGTATTCCACGCTCGCACCAAGCATATCAAGATTGAATATCACTTTATCAGTGAGCACATCAGAGAAAACTCTGTAACGCTGCATCACATCGACTCCCTTGAGCAACCAGCGTACATCATGACAAAGTCGCTCCCGGCAGCCCGCTTCCATCTCCTACGCAACAAATTAACCGTCCAAGACATGGACGCTTCATTTGCGGGGGCATGTTAGCCCAACTAGTGCATCACTTATTTCCTGCCTCAGCCGCTCGTAGGTCCACGCCCTCTGCTCCTGCAGACTGGCTCCTAACGGCTTCTGCCGAACACCTCTCGTTATGATTTACGCTACCAATGTCGCCTATATATGCGACTGCTTTACTGTAGCAAACACATAATACAATATTACATTTTCCACTGTTCATATTCTTCCTATGTTCTTCTCTTATCTATTTTTGCATATACCTTCTCAAGAATATACCAAATCATTAATTGCAAAATTCAAACCAAAGTCAGAATTAAAAATTTGATTTTAAATCTACTTAGGCAAGAGCTAGCTGACTAAAACTTAGAAACTTGGTCTACATTCAAAATATCTTTTTCACAAAATTTGACCCCTTAATTTATGCAAAACTTAAAATAGGTGTGACACATATTATATGTATGCTTGGTTTTAGAAGAACCTGATTTCTTTTGATGTTTTATTTTTTAAGAATCAAAACTCTTCTGATAAATTTTAAAAAAATTGAATAAAAATAACTATAAATGTCATATATGAATTAAAAAAAAAGTTGAAAAGACACTTAAGGATAAATTAAAATAATAAAAAAGAAACTATTTTATTAGCAAGAAGCATTTCCATACACTTCATGTTTAGCCTGCCTGACTTCAATACCTAAGTTGTATGTCTCAATTTTAAAATGACAATAACATAGCCAATCTTGCATTACATAAGACTTTGAAATCAAGGTTTTGTAGCAATTATATGAGTTTAGCTAGTAGTATTTGTCTTCTTTAGGTTGGATTATGAGCTTAATAAAGTTTGGCTTTCTTAAACTCTGGTGGGGTAAAAGTTGTAAATCTTCCTAAATTTCATTAGACATAGGTTTAAGTCACTACTCAATAGTACTCATCAGAGGCTGATTAGCTATACATAAGCCCTCACCTCTTGGTCATTCTTTCAATATTCTATTGATGAAATATAAGCCTCAAATTTCTAATAAAAGGAACAACGCAAACACTAAATTTTAATTTCCAAACTTTAAAGCCCATCGTAGAATAGTTTGGAGTATTTTTGAGTTTCTTAGAATCCAATGCTCTCTACTATTCATCTTCGGGCCATAAAAAAATAATTTTCTGATTTCAACTAGTTCCATTTTGAAATTTCAAAATCGCATCCGTTATCTAAACTTTGACATCTTAAAAATATTTGTCACTATTTTAATCAAGACTATTCTCAATAGACCACCTCTTTTAGGATATAACTAATTACAAGAGCTTGTATTTATGGAGAACTTGTGCTGCAAAATAAAATAAATCATATCAATAAATCATTAGGAACATAGATATTTTACTAAAAATCAATTTTTATTTTCAAGTCTACTAAGGAATATTATTGTTCTTTTGAGAGGTATGTTATTCTTTATAGTATATTTGATTATAACAAATAGGATTCTTAAATTTGTAGTATATTTTTCCAATAGTCATCCAGGTCCAAATGGCTAGTGACAAGTGATGAATGTGTGTTGATTTACAAACCTAAACTCAGCGTTTCATAC